TCAAGCTGCCCTTTGAAATCTTCTGTTCTTCTCTTCTACTTCTGCATTTCTTCTCTTTGTATTGGCTTCTCAAAGCTCTAGTGAAATTCCCAGAATCTCTTCTGATATCTGTTTTGGTCTATTTTTTCTCCTCCTGTCTTTGTAGTGTAATGACCTTTTGCTCTCTTCATGGATTATATCCCTGATGTCATCCAACACAACTCACTATTCCCAAGAAAGGTGATCCAAAACAATGTGGAAATTATCAAACAGTATCATCATTAATATCACATGCAAGTGAAGTACTGCTAAAGATTTTCCAAAAATGCCAATGGTACATCAAGAGGGAACTGCCCAAATTCAAGCTGGATTTAAAAGAAGCCACGGCACCAGGCACATTACTGCTGATGTCAGATGGACATTGGCTCAAAGCAGAGAATACCAGCAGAAAGTCCATTTGTGCTTTATTTACTATGCAAATGCACTTGATTGTGAGGATCATAACACTAAGGCTAGCACTGAGGAGAATGAGAATCCCAGAGGACTTCGTTTTGCTTAAACAAAACCAATACTTAGACCAAGAAGCTGATGTCCAAACAGAGCAAGAGAACATTGCATAGTGAAAATCAAAAGATGTACCTCAAGACGATACCCTTTCTCCATGCATATTCAATCTGAACCCTAAAATGAATTATTTGAGAAACTGGATTTTATGTAAAAGAATGTGGCATCAAGATCAGAAGAAGATATATCCACAACCTACATTATGCACATGACACAACTTTGCTGAAAGTAAGGAGGACTTGAAGGCCTTATTTCAATGAAGATCAAAGACTACACGTTTTTTTATTCAAAGGCTTATACAAAATATTCAAGATAAATGAGTTTTAATCCTCCTCTTTTTCATCCTGGTTAATTTGGAAGCCACATAATTCATAACTTTCTTTGCTGTTAGGAACTACTCACAACCAATCACATAGATTATTCTTCAAATATTTTTTGTGAGCTCTTTCAACTAATTTTTTGGAAAAAGGCCCGTCAGAGGTGACAGTTATCTTGCTCTTGCTTCTTTCAAGGGTTACAACCCCTTCACTAATATTACCAGCTTTCCCATTAACCTCAATTCTTTCTTGAAGAAACTGCTCAAAACTGGCAGTATCTATGATTCTATCTTCTATCGGATTAGGAACAGCCAAGGGTGAACTTCACAAACTGCTGCTTTTTTTTATCACCTTCGCCAGAGGCTTTTTCACAGGTGTCCTGGCCGCAGCAAAGTCTGCAAGAGTTATGGATTACAGCTCAACATCAAGAAGAAAATTCCTTACCACTTGGCCAATAGGCAACCTCATGCTAGATGGAAAAATTACTGAAATTGTCAATGATTTCACTTTATTTAGACCCACAATCAACATCCTTGAGAGCAGCACTAAAGAAATTTTAAAAACTTACAGCATTGGGAAAGTCTGCTGTCAAGGACACTGCCAAAGTACTAAGGAGCAATGATGCCAGTTTAAAGACTCAGGCCACAGTCATTTCAATCATTATACATCTGAGAGTTGAACAATGATTACGGATGACAGAAGACAAATTGAAGCCTTTGAGTTGTGGTGCTGGAAAGAAGTACTGAATCAACTGCTACAAAACCAGGTACGCCTTACAGAAAGTTCAACCAGAATGCTCTGTAGAGACAAAGATGGCAAAGCTCTGTCTAGTACTTTGGGCATGTTCCTTAGAGAGGCTATCGCTTGGAAAGGGACATCATGCTTGGAAAGATGGAGAGTCAGTAAAAGAGAAGATGACTTTCAACTAAATGGATGACACAGTGACTGAGGCAATTGGCTCAAGCATGTTAGAGATGATGAAGATAGTACAGGATAAGACAGGTTTAAGATCTGTTCACAGGGTTGCCATGAGATGTACTCAATTTGACAGCACCTAACAACAATGACAACAACTGAAATAAGGAGCCCTGGTGGTACAGTAGTTAAAATGTTTGGCTGACGGGAAAGATTAATAATCTGAACCCATCAGTTGCTTGTGAAAACATTATAGCCTTGGAAACACTAATGGGTCCTATAAAGTTGCCATGAGTTAGAAGTCACTCACTGGTAGCAGTTTTACAACTGCTAAGAATTTACTACCTGTAAAAAAGAACTCTTAAAGCTCAACAACAAAAAGACAAACAATTACATATAAAAAGAATTAGGAAAGGATATGGATATCTCTCCTTAAATGGCCCTCCTATGAGGTTTCTGAGGCTGCAAATATTTCAGGGAGATTGCCCATCTTTATTCCTAGATCCACCAACAAATAAGGCAAGATCCCAGAAAAGCTCATCAGCAGCCAGCATGCCCATGCACAGGCTGGAGTGTGGGGCATTTCCTTACTCTCAGGAAGCAGGCACAGAAGTGTTTAGAGTTCGAGAGCCACATCTCCAAGTTACTCTAAGAGGTGTGGAAAAGAATACAAAGCAAGACGGAATGACGAAGCAAATATGGCAAAATACAAAGTATGGGCAATCTGGGTAAAAAAGGGCAGCAGTGAGCTGATGTTAATGGGAAAAACAATTTTGCAAAGCAGGAAGAGAGGGGTTATATTCTTCGAATGTAATATCACAGAAATAGACAAGTGGTTATGTTTGAAACTAGTATACAGGCTGTTATGAAAAATTTTAACAATCCAAAGTAGTTAAAAAATATTCCTAATATTTTAGGGCATTATGATTATCATAAGAGCCCGGAATGAGGGTTGCAGAGTGGAGTATACTTGGGGTGGGAGTGGGGATGTGCGGGGTGGGGGTGGGAGGATTGTGTACCAATGAAGGAGTTTTTCTTTCGCTTTTCAAGGAGAGGAGCGAACTGGGGCTGGGGGTGGGGGTGAGTGGGTGGGGAGAAAAGTGCACCAATGAATGAATGGAACTCCAAAATCTCTGTAGATGTTCATTGAAATTAATTTAAAAAAAATATTCCTAGCAATCTAGGAATAGTTATTTCCTTAACCTCAATAAGAGTTAATCTTTTCAAAGCTTAGTGCCACTGTTGTAAAACAGGACTGACATCTGTGTTGGGGGGAAAACTAAGAAGGGATAAATAATGCATACTGCATTGAAACAGATAAGGGCCAGAACTGTTTAGGAGGAATATATGATTAGGTATTACTGTTATGACAAGAATCCAGAATGAAAGCTGCATAGTGGAGTGGAATGGGGAGTGAGGGGGCACTGTATAACAAAGAAAGAATTTTTATTTTTTTTTTAACTTTTCAAAGA